TGGCTCCTGTGACAGGGGGAAGCAGTGATGATGTCTGGGTTAAATAACACTCACATAAACAACATGCCACTTAGATTGCAGAGATGTCAGGATACAGCGACCCACTTACTGTATATTAGTTTATATTATACCACAGCAACGGCAGGTCCAGGCCGTTGCTGTGGTAGCGGTGTGTTTCAGACTAGCTGAGAAGAAGAGCAGCAGACACTCACCTGGATCAGGCACCTACCAGCCAGACCCAGCTCCTTCTGCAGAGTTACACACACAGGTTTAGAGGGACTGAACTGGGGCAGTGTGTTTGTACTTGGCTGTGTGTGTGTGTGTGTGTAGTGTGTATCTTTGACAGCATGTGTGTGTGTGTTTGTACCTGTGTATGCATGGCGGTGAGTAGGTTGTGACTTGTGTGTGTGTCGACGGAGCTTTGAGAGCAAGGCTGAGAGTGTGGGGTCATGACCGTCGTGTGTATGTGTACCTGCGTTAGCATGGCGGTGAGTGTAGGATCAGGTGTGTACTGTAGACTGTAGCAAGACTGTGACACAGGGCTTTTGGCTGCTTGTCTCCAATGCAACCGCTCTGACAGGAGAGGCTGTCCCTTCATTGGCAGGGCACACAGGTGGCAGTCTGGACATACATAGTCTGGACATACAAGTTCCTTGGTGTCCACATCACCAACGAACTATCATGGTCCAAACACACCAAGACAGTCGTGAAGAGGGCACGACAAAGCCTATTCCCCCTCAGGAGACTGAAAAGATTTGGCATGGGTCCTCAGATCCTCAAAAAATTCTACAGCTGCACCATCGAGAGCATCCTGACTGGTTGCATCACCGCCTGGTATGGCAACTACTTGTCCTCCGACCGCAAGGCACTACAGAGAGTAGTGCGTACGGCCCAGTACATCACTGGGGCCAAGCTTCCTGCCATCCAGGACCTCTATACCAGGCCGTGTCAGAGGAAGGCCCTCAAAATTGTCAAAGACTCCAGCCACCCTAGTCATAGACTGTTCTCTCTGCTACCGCACGGCAAGCGGTACCGGAGTGCCAAGTCTAGGTCCAAAAGACTTCTCAACAGCTTCTACCCCCAAGCCATAAGACTCCTGAAAAGCTAATCATGGCTACCCGGACTATTTGCACTGCCCCCCCACCCCATCCTTTTTACGCTGCTGCTACTCTGTTAATTATTTATGCATAGTCACTTTAACTCTACCCACATGTACATATTACTTCAACTACCTCAACTAGCCGGTGCCCCCGCACATTGACTCTGCACCGGTACCCCCCCTGTATATATAGCCTCCCTACTGTTATTTTATTTTACTTCTGCTCTTTTTTTTCTCAACACTTATAATAATATAATATGCCATTTAGCAGACGCTTTTATCCAAAGCGACTTACAGTCATGCATGCATACATAATTTTTTTGTGTGTACGGGTGGTCCCGGGGATCGAACCCACTACCTTGGCGTTACAAGCGCCGTGCTCTACCAGCTGAGCTACAGAGGACCACTTTTTTGTTGTTGTTTTATTTTTACTTTTTTTGTTAAAAATAAATGCACTGTTGGTTAAGGGCTGTAAGTAAGCATTTCACTGTAATGTCTGCACCTGTTGTATTCGGCGCATGTGACCAATACAATTTTATTTTATTTTATTTGATCACTGGGGCCAAGCTTCCTGCCATCCAGGACCTCTATACCAGATGGTGTCAGAGGAAGGCCCTAAAAATTGTCAAAGACTCCAGCCACCCTAGTCATAGACTGTTCTCTCTGCTACCGCATTGCAAGCGGTACCGGAGCGCCAAGAATAGTTCCAAAAGGCTTCTTATCAGCTTCTACCCCCAAGCCATAAGACTCCTGAACAGCTAATCATGGCTACCCGGACAATTTGCATTGTCCCCCCCCCCCACCCCTCTTTTACACTGCTGCTACTCTGTTTATTATCTTTGCATAGTCACTTTAACTCTACCCACATGTACATATTACCTCAATTACATCGACTAACCTGTTCCCCCGCACGTTGACTCTGTACCGGTACCCCCTGTACATAGCCTCCCTACTGTTATTTTATTTATTTTACTGCTGCTCTTTAATTATTTGTTATTTGTTATTATTTACTTATCAATTTTTTTCTTAACACTTATTCTTCTTAAAACTGCATTGTTGGTTAAGGGCTTGTAAGTAAGCATTTCACTGTTGTATTCGGTGCATGTGGCAAATAAGATTTGATTTGATTTGATGTTTTAGCGAAGGTAGACTACGCACAGACACGCCAAAGGAAGGGAAGGCATAAGTGCCATCCAGGCACTCTGTACAGAGCTGTATGCAACAGGTGACTGAATCAGTGTATGTAAGACTAGGTATGTGTGTGTGACTCACAGTGTCGGAGGTAGGATGTGTGTAGGTGTGCTGACAGTAAGGCAGGTGTGCGAGTTGCCCCACACAGACGGAGAGAACACCTGCGTCACGTTTACAGCCTATTTACCTAAGGAGCCAGAGAAATTGTCAACTTTTACAGCTGCTAGTTATTTCAGCATGACACAGACTGGACAATTTTTACATTTTACATTTTTATTAAGCAATGTTTCATCATATAAAACCAATTAACAACATGAACTGTGCAACATTAGCTGTTAAACTAGAGGACAAAAACTGACCTGTGAGGCCCAGCTGACTGGCCAATAACATTGCATGGAGGTCGCTCAGGGATTGGCTGTCTGAGCTCACCTTTACAGCCAGTGGCACCCACAGGGACAAATGGGTGATGGATTGAGGGCTCTGGGAGAAGTTAGGCAATGCTGTTCTACCAACTTCCTCCAGCCTGAATGGAGGAGAGGAAAGGCTGTGCTCTGCAGTCATTTGCTCCCGAGTGGCGCAGTGGTCTAAGGCACTGCATCGCAGTGCTAGCTGTGCCACTAGAGATCCTGGTTCGAATCCAGGCACTGTCGTAGCCGGCCGCGACCGGGAGACCCATGGGGCGGTGCACAATTGGCCCAGCGTCGTCCAGGGTAGGGGAGGGAATGGCCGGCAGAGATGTAGCTCAGTTGGTAGAGCATGGCGTTTGCAACGCCAGGGTTGTGGGTTCGATTCCCACGGGGGGACAGTATGAAAAAAGAAAAGAATGTATGCACTAACTGTAAGTCGCTCTGGATAAGCGCGTCTGCTAAATGACTAAAATGTAAATGTAAAATGAAACCATCTCCAATATTGTGACATTGGCTCTCGCACACAACTGGAGGTGGGCCAACGAGGCCAGGAAGTGGTTCCAGTCCTTTGAAAGAAATATTCATTTCCATTTTCCTGTTAATTGCTCTGTCTGCTAGTCATCATAATCATATCATATGCCATTTAGCAGACGCTTTTATCCAAAGCGACTTAGTCATGCGTGCATACATTTTTACGTATGGGTGGTCCCGGGAATCGAACCCACTACCCGGGCGTTACAAGCGCCATGCTCTACCAATTGAGCTACAGAGGACCACCTAGCCTGTTGCTAGCCCAACAGGGAATGTTTTGACCTGCATGGCCAAGATGCACTGAACAGGCAGCTGAGCCAAGAGGAGCTGAAGGCTGTGCTCTGCAGTCATTTAGCCAGGTCTGACTACTGTATACAATTATAAGAGGTACAAGGCAAAGGTGCTTTAATATTACATGGAGCAGTTTTAGACAGTGGGAGTGGGATCGCCAGTTCCCTACCCTCCAGCATAATGTTCTCTGCCTGTGTGTGTTGTATCTGTGGTGTCAAGGTTGGACAAGCGGTGAGTGTGGCATAACTGTGGAGTGTTGGGCACTTGGGCAGGCATTGTGTGTAATATATGTTGTACCTGTGGTGTGTCAGGGTTGGGCTGGTGGTGTGTGTGCGTGTATGACCCAAGGCTTAGGAAGGTGAGAGCAAGAGTCAGCACACACAGGAAGAAGGTGTCCCCAGGAGGGTGCTGGGAAACATAGTAGTGATGAGAAGTTCGGCTCTTTTTACGGACTATGATCTTTACCACTCCTTCAGTCAAAATAACAAATATTTCGTATCAATTCGTTCACTGGAGTCAGTCATGCGCAGAGCACGCAGGAACCCTACTGGCGAACGTTCGAAATGCACATCACTAAAACAGTCCTTTAGATCAGGGTTTCCCAAACTCGGTCCTGGGGACCCACCTGGGTGCATGTTTTGTTTTTTGCCCTAGCACTACGCAGCGGATTCATCAAGCTTTGATTAACTGAATCAGCTGTGTAGTGCTAGGGCAAAAACCCATCACACACCTTTATCACAACAGATTTCTGCTATAAAAAAATAAAATTAAAAAAAGACAACTATACAGGATTCAGACAAATATACCACAAGAGCATTGCATTAGCCACAACGAGATTTAGAAACAACATTCAGCTACATAGACAGGTCCACAGGGATGACGCAGGCTTAGTCCAACATAAAGCCTCAAGCTGTTCTCTGCAATGCTACCGCACGTTGCTTGCCATGTCAAAGGTTAAGAAAGACAACGGAATTTACCAGTCAAAGTACAACTTTCGTATCTGTGCTTTTCTTGATATCAAAAGTGCAGCACCTAGCTAGCCAAACAGCTCTGTGCTCGCTAGCTAACTCGGATCAGAAGTTAACCAGCAAGCAAGCAGGCTTTGTTACAATTGCAAACTAAATCATGAGCATCCATCTCTAAACTAGCTGCATCTGAAGGAAGCAGTTCACATGAGAAAACTAGCTAGTATAAACATAGTTACTGGTAGTTACATTTCAAACCCAATTTATTCAGAATGTTTATGACCATTGTTATTGAAAGGCAGAAATACCGCAAAAATCGAAGTCCGTTAAAGCGTTCTGATGGAAAGCAGAACCACCTGCATTGTCATTGGATCTAAAAGTGTGACGACCGTATGTCCCCCTTTTTTTTTTTTTTTTTCAGGCTTGTTTTGCTTTCAGGACACACTTTTCATGCCACTTCTATACGAAGTGATTTTCTTAACAGGTTAGGAGAGCATTTTCGCTAACTCTAACTATAACCCTTTTCCTAACCTTAACCTTAGTCTCCTAACTTGCTACGAAAAAGTCACTCCCGTATCGAAGTGGCGAGAAAATTGTTTATCTTTTGCTTTCAGGTAGGCTTCAAAAAGTCTGTGCCATTTGATAGAATAGTGTCAGACAACAAAAGACAGTATACCAGCTTTGTATTTATGAATAAGCTACAGTACACAACAACTCATGGCATGGCTATAAAGTAAAGTTAAACTCATTTAATGACAAAACATTGACAGTTGAAATTTTAAAAACATGATAAAACTGGACACATTCAAGCCTTTACACATCTGTCAAATGATAAATGTAATACATATTTTGATCTGATTACAGTCTTAATAGCATTGATATGAATTAACCCGTGCCATAGCAGCATTAATCAAATGGTAGAATACTTTAGGATGCAAGTTGAAAACACTGATTTAAAATGAAAATGAAAAATAATTATCTATTGCCAAAACAAATAGTGCATTTTTTGTGCGTCTGAGGTACAATTTCCTACCTCAATATTGTCAATAGTGGAAGTCTCATTTCAAATGGAGTTATCCCATCTCACATCACATTCAATATGAGACAGCCAGTATGAGCAAAACCTTATAAAAAATAAACAGTTAACACATTCCCTTATCTCAAGGTTTTTAAAATAGCAGAGCAGTAAACAGTATACACATGCTAACCCTGAGCTTACTGTTGTACTGCATATTTATTTGAATTACATTTGTAATCATTTCCCCTTTTCAAATGAAACCCAGCACCCCTCAGTTTATTTTCTGACACTGATGGATGTGTGCGTGTAGGGTTAATTTAAGGGTACGGGTTAGGTAGACCAGGTGACGTGTACAGGTGTGAAAGCCCAGGTGTCGGGGTGTCCCATGTGCATCAGGTCTGAGTAGGGGGAAGAACTCCACTGGAAAGCAGGTACCTGGTCCCACGTGGGTCCATTCGCTGCCAGGAACCCAAACTCACGCCACAGCCCATAAGACGTCACCTACACACACGCAAAGGTACACACACAGCCAATTAGTGATACCCATAGGAGACATGACATTACAGCTCACCTAACTCATACTTAGAGAGATGGAGGAGAGAGAGGAGGAGCAAGACAAAGGTAGAGGGGGTAAGACATCCTTACCTTCATATCCGTTCCTCCATGTGGTCTCTGCTTCAGCGCTCCAAAGGGATACGTCCCGTTAGCCGGGTTCAGGTCGGAGCGGGCCGAGATGGTGTTCTCCCCATTAGCAGGCGGGTCGCAGCCCTCACACCGGGACAATGGGTCCTCCTTAAAGTTATTATACCTACACAGAGAGAGCAAAGGGATATTTTTATACATAGGCTAAAATGTAGGTAGGGGTCCTCATATACAGGTCAGGTGTGGGCTAATTCCACAGTAATGGAATTGCGCTGAGACTCAGCTTTTTCACAAAAAATGTATGCCAAACAAAAACCATTGACTTAAAAGTTTAACAAATCATACAACTCTATGCACAAGGCCTACTTTTAACAATTTACACTGAACATTTTACAAAACACATTTACAGTGCCTTGCAAAAGCGTTCATCCCCCTTGGCGTTTTTCCTATTTGGTTGCATTACAACCTGAAATTTAAATTGTTTTTTATTTGGATTTCTTGTAATGGACAAACACAAAATAGTCCAAATTGGTGAAGTAAAATGAAAAAAATTAACAACGGTAAAGTGGTGCGTGCATATGTATTCACCCTCTTTGCTATGAAGTCCCTAAATAAGATCTGGTGCAACCAATTACCTTCAGAAGTCACATAATTTGTTAAATAAAGTCCACCTGTGTGCAATCTAAGTGTCACATGATCTCAGTATATATACACCTGTTCTGAAAGGCCCCAGAGTCTACAACACCACTAAGCAAGGGGTACCACCAAGCAAGCAGCACCATGAAGACCAAGGAGCTCTCCAAACAGGTCAGGGACAAAGTTGTGGAGAAGTACAGATCAGGGTTGGGTTGTAGAAAAATATCAGAAACTTTGAACATCCCATTCACAGACCAGGCAAGGAGAGCATTAATCAGAGAGGCAACAAAGAGACCAAAGATAACCCTGACGGAGCTGCAAAGCTCCACAGCGGAGATTGGAGTATCTTTCCATAGGACCACTTTAAGCCGTACACTCCACAGAGCAGGGCTTTACGGAAGAGTGGCCAGAAAAATGCCATTGCTTAAAGAAAAAAATAAGCAAGCAACCTGTTTCTATCTTCCAGAGATTTGAGACTGGGACGGAGGTTCACCTTCTAGCAGGACAATGACCCTAAGCATACTGCTAAAGCAACAATCGAGTGGTTCAAGGGGAAACATTTAAATGTCTTGGAATGGCCTAGTCAAAACCCAGACTTCAATCCAATTGAGAATCTGTGGTATGACTTAAAGATTGCTGTACACCAGCAGAACCCATCCAACTTGAAGGAGCTGGAGCAGTTTTGCCTTGAAGAATGGGCAAAACTCCCAGTGGCTAGATGTGCCAAGCTTATAGAGAAATACCCCCAAGAGACTTGCAGCTGTAATTGCTGCAAAAAGTGGCTCTACAAAGTACTGACTTTGGGGGGGGGGGGGGGGGGGGGGGGTGAATAGTTATGCACGCTCAAGTTCAGTTTTTTTGTCTTATTTCTTGTTTGTTTCACAAAAAAAATATTTTGCATCTTCAAAGTGGTAGGCATGTTGTTGTGTCTAATCCCCGAGCCGACTAGGTGAAAAATCTGTCGATGTGCCCTTAAGCAAGGCACTTAACCCTAATTGCTCCTGTAAGTCACTCTGGATAAGAGCGTTTGCTAAATGACTAAAATGTAAATCTAATTATACAAACCCCCCAAAAATCGATTTTAATTCCAGGTTGTAAGGCAACAAAATAGGAAAAATGCCAAGGGAGGTGAATACTTTCACAAGCCATTGTAATGGAAGAACTGTACAGAATTTTCGAAAAAATCTCCCTCAGTTTTTTGTGTCCACGTTTCCAAAAACTCTTAAATAGCTGTTCTGAATTAAGATTCAACGATGTCTGCAGAAACAATGGGGTGTCATCTATAACATGGGTCTCTGATCTGTACTACACAGAAATGGATATGAATGTAATTGTCTTCATGGTGATGCGTTCTAAATAGGTACACAAAGGTATAAATAGGCAATATCCTCCTTTGCATATTTGGGTATTATTCTACACACTGGCTATTATTTTAACCTCTTAAGGATCAGATCCTTTTTTTCAATTTTCGCCTAAAATGACATAACCAAATCTAACTGCCTGTAGTTCAGGATCTGAAGCAAGGATATGCATATTCTTGATACCATTTGAAAGGAAACACTGAAGTTTGTGGAAATGTGAAATTAATGTAGGAGAATTTAACACATTAGATCTGGTAAAAGATAATACAATCAAAAAAACATGCGTTTTCTATTAATTTTTTTGTTCCATCATCTTTGAAATGTAAGAGAAAGGCCACAATATAATATTGCAGTTTAAGCACAATTTTGATTTTGCCCACTAGATGGCAGCAGTGTGTGTGTGCAAAGTTTCAGATTGATCCAGTGAAGCATTGGAATACTGGACTATTTTGTATCAAGTCTGCCCAAATGTGCCGAATTGGTCAATTGATACATTTTCAAGTACATAATAATAATAAATAATATGCCATTTAGCAGACGCTTTTATCCAAAGCGACTTACAGTCATGTGTGCATACATTTTTACGTATGGGTGGTCCCGGGGATCGAACCCACTACCCTGGCATTCCAAGCGCCATGCTCTACCAATTGAGCTACAGAGGACCATACATAACTATAGAGAACATACAAAAATGATATGGTAATACAAAATGTAAGTTTACACACTCCCAGGAATGTCATACATGATGGATCATTAGCTTATACACTAACTTTCACACATCTAGATGGCCGGGCGGGGTGGGTGTTGAGCCAGATACAGCAGGGGTTCAAACTGTAGAACCCAGTTCCTACATTTGAATATAAAAATTGATTTTATCAAACAAAACTATGCTACATTTTATCTCTGGGACCCTTAGGATGACAAGTCTGAGCAAGATTACTGAATGTAACTACATTATTTACCTTCAGAGGTGAATGTATCAAACCAGTTGCCGTGACACGTTTTTTGTTGTTGTGCACTCTCCTCAAACAATAGCATGGTATTTTTTCACTGTAATAGCTACTGTAAATTGGACAGTGCAGTTAGATTAACAACAATTTAAGCTCTCTGCCCATATAAGACATGGCTATGTCGTGGAAAGTTTGCTGTTACTTACAACAGTCATGCTAATCACATTAGCGCACGTTAGCACGGGACACCAATCCCGTAGAGGTTAATGAGCTCTGCCCCAAACAAGACAGAATTTGGTTGGTCTGGACCAGACCAAATCTGAACCAATCATAGATGTCTACGTTTCACAAGTTTGGACATCAAAGTACAGCACAGTAGAGCTCAGTAGAGTAGAGTACAACACAGCACAGTTCAGGACTGTAGATTTCAGTACAGTAAAGTAGAGTTCAGTAGATTACAGTTCAGTATAGTACAGTAGACTTCAGCACATTATGCTGTACTCAACTCTCGTGTTCTCTACTGTGTACTGTACTGAACTGTGGTTTGTGACTACTATGTTTTCCATTGTAGCTAATTCAATTCTAGAAATTCCGTTACCGATTTGGTAACGGAATTTCAAGTTTTAATCACTTAATAATTCATAAACAAAATTGATATCAGTAAAAACACTAACTAATTGGTAGGTCTACCTTTACTTGTTACTTCTGTGAACTTTCATTATCCTCCCTCCTCATGAGGGAGAGAAATTAGAAAATATCTTAAAAGATATGTGGGTTTTTGGTATCAGAATTTCAAGGCACATGGCAATGTTTCTTAAACTTACAGAAGGCAGAAAAATGTATCCAAAACTACATATAAATCTTGATACTAGTTGGCAGGGGTCTTTACTTCAACATTGTGTATTTCTAATACCTTTTCAGACTTTCTGGTAGATGTTTTCTAAGACCCATTTTCCATCTGTTTGACCAGTTATCAAAGCCTTTGCTTATTCCAAATGTATGCCTTAATAAAAAATAGACTCAGCTTTCATTTGACACCCAATTTGATATGCTCCTACAAACTTCATATTGGTGCTCATGGGTCCTTTTATATGTGAATGACTGTGTATAAATGCAGGTCTGTCCATCTCCCTCCTGTGACACATCTGGCATTGAGGCCTCTGAATGGAGGCGGGTACCTCATCAGGCGGACCATGGAGTCCATGTCTGTGATGTGTGATTGGTTCCTTCTGAAGATCTGGGCTCGAGGATTCATGTCCAGAGAGAACCATGGACCAAACTGCTCTACCAGTTCTCTACAGCCGCTGGCATTAAACACCTCCTCGTAGTACCTACACACACACACACAGAGCGAGAGTGTCACACATATACACTTTAGATCTGAACAAATTATAACCACCATCTCCAACACCTGCAAGACCGACACAGTCAACTGCTCTTTTTATTAATAATATAGTCATTACTAGTGTGTGGTAGTTATATGTTGTTATTGGTACTTACGGGATGTTGTAACTAGACCAGTAGCCTTTCTGCAGCAATTCCTGGGTTTTATCAGAGTGAACAACTAGCCCACTACAGAACAGAACCACACACACATCTATTATTGTTATTGATAAATAACCAGCCCATTACAGCAGCAAGAACACACAAAACATTTCTCAAAATGTATACGTGTTGAGAGGATGTTGGTGGTGTGTGTGTGTGTGTACGTTGCCTGTCTTACGGGATCTGCTCCAGTACAGTAAATAGCTGCTCCTTAGTCTCGGTCATCCCTGGAGTGAAATGCTTGTAGTCCACTATCATCCACTGGTTATTATACCTAACACACACACACACACGTATTATACCTACAAGCGAAGGAATACATTGATCGTGGTCCTCTGTAGCTCAATTGGTAGAGCATGGCGCTTGTAACGCCAGGGTAGTGGGTTCGATCCCCGGGACCACCCATACGTAAAAATGTATGCACACATGACTAAGTCGCTTTGGATAAAAGCTTGATTTTAAAGGTAGACATTCTACGTGGTATATGGATCTATTTTGAGGCTACTGAGTAATTCATGGCGATGACTGATGATACACTAGACCAGGGGTGTCAAACGTACGGCCCGCGGGCCGGATCAGGCCCGCAAACGGGTTTAATCCGGCCCGCGAGATGATTAAAAAAAATATATATTTTTTTTTTAAGTATAAAAATGCGCTGCAATTTTTCAATAAAATAAACTGCTGTTCCAATTGCGTCCACTGGATGGCGCAATAGCAATTGTGTTAAGCAAGCAAACTGTTTATACCGGGGCAGAGCAAGTAGGTCAAGCACGTGCAGCCAATGAGCTACTTTGTTTTGCCCGCGATATTTATTACGGCTTCTACTTTTAACATTATGTGCTTTGGCACCCTCATTGCCCCAATATGTCTCTGTCAAAAAAGAGAAAAGTGGACGCAGAGTGCAGAGTGTTCCAAGAAAAATGGTCATCCTATTTAATCACGGAATTGAATGGGAAAGCTGTATGTTTGGTGTGTTCAGAGCATGTTGCAGTGCTGAAAGAATATAACCTTCGTCGACACTGTGTGAGTCTTCATGCCGACAAATATGACAACTTTCAAGGACAGCGGAGATGAGAGAAGGTGAATGAACTGTTGGCGGGTCTGAAGAAACAGCAGTCTGTGTTTACTCACAGCCGAGACATCAGTGACGCTGCAGTGAAAGCTAGCTACCTCATTGCTAATGAAATCGCAGTGGCTTCAAAACCATTTAGTGAGGGTGAATTTGTAAAAACATGCATGATGAAGGCAGCGGAGATTGTGTGCCCTGAAAAGCGGCAGGCTTTTGCAAATATCAGCCTGACAAGAAACACAGTTGCAGACAGGATTTCCGATCTTTCAGTGGATTTGGACAGCCAGTTGAAGCAAAAAGTAAAGTAATTTATTGCGTTTTCGGTTGCAATTGATTAAAGCACGGACATTACAGATGTTGCACAACTGGCAATTTTTTCATCCGCGGAGTTGATGACACATTGACCGTCACCGAGGAGTTCGTGAAGTTGGTGCCGATGACAGATACAACGACAGCAGCTGATATTTTTACCGCACTGGTCGGCGCGCTGGACAGGGTCGGAGTGGACTGGTCCTGCGCTGTCAGCCTGGCTACAGATGGTGCGCCCTCAATGATCGGGAAGAAAGCAGGCGTTGTGACAAAGTTCAGAGAGAAAGTGCAATCTGCAAATGGAGGACGTGATTTTTTGACTTTTCACTGTATTTTGCACCAGGAGGCTTTGTGTTGCAAGTCATTAAAGATGGATAACGTCATGAAGGTGGTCATCCAAACTGTTAATTTCATCCGATCCAGAAGCCTGAATCACCGTCAGTTTGACAGCCTTCTCAGAGAGAAAGACCACATCTATGGCCTGCCATACCACACTGAGGTAAGATGGTTAAGCCGAGGTGCTGTGCTGAGGCGTTTCTTTGATTTACGAGAAGAAATTGAACAGTTCATGGAAGAAAATGGCAAACCAGTGTTAGAATTTCATTCCGCAGAATGGATGCCGGACCTTGCATTTATGGTGGATGTTACAGAGCACCTGAATAACTTGAACAAACAGCTGCAAGGGCGCAACAAAGTTGTCACGCAGTATTATGACAGCATACGTTCTTTCAAGTTGAAGCTGTCATTGTGGGAGACGCAACTTTTTTGGTCCTCTGTAGCTCAGCTGGTAGAGCATGGCGCTTGTAACGCCAAGGTAGTGGGTTCGATCCCCGGGACCACCCATACACAAAAATGTATGCACGCATGACTGTAAGTCGCTTTGGATAAAAGCGTCTGCTAAATGGCATATTATTATTATTATTATTATTATTATATATTATTATTATATTATTATTATTATTATATTATAACTTGCCGGTGGTGATGCAGCTCACTTCCCCTGTCTGAAAAATGTGTGCGCGACCCAACATGTGGCAGACATGAAGCGGTTCAAAGATAAAATAACTGGACTGTTACGGGAGTTTGAGCAACGCTTTCAGATTTATGTTTATATGTTTTTATGTTGATGTGCTATTGTTTTTAATTGATTTTATTTTATTTGTATATTTAACCTATTCTTGACTCTGTGGTTCTTGCACTTGTTTGGGGAACATGATTTCATTATTTTTATCTACATTTCTGCCTGAGAAATGACACCCTGATATAGTTCTGTGATCTGTGATATACTTCCGTGAATCACTGAGGCATTGTGTGTTTGTGTGTTCTTTGTCCTCAGAACTTTCAAATAACTTGAGGTGTTTTATGATTAATAGTGATGTTGTGCTTTTGGACACTGTCCTCAGGCTCCAGCTTTATGTTTATATGTTTTTATGTTGATGTGCTATTGTTTTTAATTGATTTTATTTTATTTGTATATTTAACCTATTCTTGACTCTGTGGTTCTTGCACTTGTTTGGGGAACAGGATTTCATTATTTTTATCTACATTTCTGCCTGAGAAATGACACCCTGATATAATTCTGTGATCTGTGAAACAGTTCTGTTAATCACTGAGGCATTGTGTGTTTGTGTGTTCTTTTTCTTTAAAATGTTCAAATAAACTTGACGTGTTTTATGATTAATAGTGATGTTGTGCTTGTACTATTTTGGACACACTGTCCTCAGGCTCCAGCTTTATGTTGTATGTTGATCGTATTAAAACAAAGAAAACAATCTGAAGTTGTTGTTTTTAAGTTATATATACCATGATTTTTCCGGTCCGGCCCACTTGGGAATAGATTTTCCTCCATGTGGCCCCTGAGCTAAAATGAGTTTGACACCCCTGCACTAGACAGTCTTTCAGGTTCCACTGTGGTGAGTAACTGAGGCTGATAACAGACGTACTGTGTGTAGATATGCTAAAGATCAGAGGAGGCTGGTGGGAGGAGCTGAAGGAGGACGGGCTCATTGTAACGGCTGGAATGGAACGGTATCAAACATGTTCGACTCCATTCTATTCTATTCCAGCCATTACAATGAGCCCGTCTATAGCTCCTCCCACCAGCTTCCACTGCTAGAGAAATAAACAAAAAATAAGCCGCAGAAGACATAAATGTAATCATACAAAACATGAGTGTGTAACCTTTGATCTAAGAGGACTTTGGCCTGAGTGGGCATTCCTGATAAGTCCCAGGCCTGCCTCAAGTGTGTGTGTGTGTGTGTGTGATAAAAGACGACTCAGCACTTTAGAGACACTACTTTATCAGCTGACTTAACTCTGTCCTCCCCCCACTCGTGATATTTCATGTGATGTTTCTATAAACTTTATTATAGTTTTACTTCCCTTCATTCCTTAAAAAGATAGTTCCCTTCACTCTTCCTCTCCTGGCGTCCTTTAAATGGATAGTTCAAAAGCCTGTACGAGAGTTTGTTTGCTGAGCTCCAGCTTTGACCGGACTGGAGAGATAACCAACATGGTGGACATCCACAGGTCAATGAGAATTTACAGGAAGAAGGGGAAAATGTCGACTAGAGGGTCTGCAGAGACTTACGTTCCGCTGTTGTGTTTGCTGAAAATCTCTGCCCACGCCTTGCCGGTTGTAGCCAGCCGATTGGCTACGATGTTCCTCAGCCACTCCATCACTGCTCCGGTTGGTTGAACAAACTTCCAGAGGGCGGGGTTACTGTTGCCGATGGTGGTCTCCAGGGTAACCTGAGGAGGGACATCTTAAAAATTAAAAAAAAAGACTACACACTGTATATGCTATGTCCACACATATTACACACAGCTCTCACCAGCCCAGTGCTAAGGATGTAGAAGTCATCTCCAGAGAAGATGGACCCTGGGTAGGAAGAGAACGCCTGGGTTCCACCAGGGATCAGATCACTGTCTGAGAACAAAAGAACACAGAAATCAAACTCAAAATATAGAACTCTGAACCACATAACTCACGTTTGACTTTCCCAGTGTTCACAAGCAGAGTTTCAAGGAGTGTTTCATGAAGAGTGTATATGTTAGGGGGAAAGGGGGGACGTTGAGACACTGTAGGCAGAGTTAAGTTATCCTTATGAGAGGTTTAGGGGTTAGGGTTACCTGTAGGAGAGACATGGTAGGCGAATTGGTACTTCTTTAGGATGCGCAGCATGGCCTGGTAGATGTTCCAGGTATCATGAGACACCAGTAGATCCTTGTTGCCAGGCAACAGCTTGATGAGGGCGGAGCAGGAGCCGGAACCCAGAGTCCGTGATTGGCTGGATTTGTTTAGGGCCCCCTCAAGATCCTCTAGGTCTCCTCCCATTTGGAAAAGTCTGAATAGCCACAGAGAAATTGATGGCTTTGTCAGAGCTGTGATGCAAGGCATGATTGGGAACACTTAATTTAGCTCACCCAAATTGTTTTCCCCATTGGAACCATTTACATTGCTCCTGAGATGGGTACTCAGAGACTATCACTGATGGGGTGAACTCTAACCCACCTATCACAGAGATCACAGACCACACTTACAGGAAGCCGAAGGGGTTGAGAGTAAAAGGGCCTCTGGGAAATGACAGCTGATCATTGTAGCCATCCTCCAGACCTTTCAGCTGCAGCAACGCCAACCGCACCTGAGAGAAAGAAACTCTAAATGAAAAATATTCTCTACTAAGATGTTCTTCTTAGATCCTAAATGTGTACTGAATGAGCCACTCTAACAAGAGTTCTTTACTCTTTAGACGCATAGAGAAAAGGAGCAGGCACTTCATCATTTAGCACGCTGGCTGACCCAGACCCAGCCAGTACCTGGTGCCAGTAGGGACAGTGTGGATGCTCCTCTATCTGCTGTCTGACCCACTGCAGGTTGGAGGTGATGTAATCCTTCAGTCTCTGGCAGAATCCTGACTCGAACGTAAACGGACCGCAGTACCCCATAAGAGTGTTCATCCAGTGCTTATAGATCAGCTGAGACAACCACAAATACACACACATAGATCAGCTATAGATTTAGACTCCACTGCCCCAGCAAGGTTTGGTTTTAAGGTTAGGGGTGGATTGTCTCTACCTTACCTGGGAGGTGCCTGCGGCCTCAACGGCCCCGGCAGCATACGCCTGGATGCTATCATTATAGCGCCCGCTAGTGGTCACTTCCAGATATGTCCAGCTGAGGGAGAGAACACTTAGTAAATACAACATCATAATCAAATTTGTTTGAGTCAGGAGTTAACCTGTTAAACTCTGAATGGTTGTTTTGGACTATCATAGGCAGTGCAGTTTATAATACCGGTAAACAGTCAATATTCTTTGTAGTGTATTTTTTTTATTTTATGTAACTTTTTACCCCTCTTTCTCCCCAATTTCGTGATATCCAAATTGGTAGTTACAGTCTTGTCCCATCGCTGCAACTCCCGTACGGACTCCGGAAAGGCGAAGGTCGAGAGCCATGCGTCCTTCGAAACGCGACCCTACCAAGCCGCACTGCTTCTTGATACACTGCTCGTTTAACCCGGAAGCCAGCCGCACCAATGTGTCGGAGGAAACACCATACAACTGTGGTCCTCTGTAGCTCAATTGCTATAGCATGGCGCTTGTAACGCCAGGGTAGTGGGTTCGATCCCCGGGACCACCCATACGTAAAAATGTATGCACACATGACTGTAAGTCGCTTTGGATAAAAGCGTCTGCTAAATGGCATATTATATTATAACTGGCGACCGTGTCAGCGAGCATGCGCCCGGCCCGCCACAGGAGTCTCTAGAGCGCGATGGGACAAGGACATCCCGGCCGCCCAAACCCTCCCCTAACCCGGACGACGCTGGGCCAATTGTGTGCCGCCTCATGGGTCTCCTGGTCGCGGACGGCTGCGACACAGCCCGGGATCGAACCCGGATCTTTAGTGACGCCTCAAGCACTGCGAGGCATTGCCGTAAACCGCTGTGCCACTCGGGAGGCCATACAGTCAAATTTAACAGGTGAATAGTTTATATTTTACATTGAAGTAGGCCTTAGTAAGCAACTGTTACTGTAATTGCATATTTTTTTGTAGCCTGCCCTACAATGTTTCAGAATTCGCTGGCATATTTAGGTTGGGGGAAATGTTGATGCAAAAAACTGTTGAATTCAAACTTTATGCTGACAGGTCCACAACCATTTGCCATCGTTTTTTTATTTCAGAAACTGACAGTCCTTTTCCAGATACAGCATAAATTACTGCTAAAGATTAAACATCCTGCCAACCAGAATATGTGAGCTGAGTGGAGCGTAGCCAATTTGACTGGAGCGCTGAGCGAATTTCCCAAAGGCTTATCTAAAAGTGTTCAGGTTAGGGGAAGAGTTAGCTAACATGCTAAGTAGTTGCAAAGTAGGTAGAAAGTAGTAACTTGCAACCTTTGGGTTGCTAGACGTTCGCGTTATACGCCCACCCATCCACCCTACTTTCGTTATTGCCTTAAGTAACCATCTGTCTTATGGAACCATACCAAACATCATACCGGCAGTGTTGCCAACTTCTCAGTAAGGAAAGTAGCTATTGGCTGTCCTAAAAGTCGCTAAATGAAGTCATCACATAATTTGCATAATTGGTAATGTACATGTAATTGTGATGGACGCTGTAGGAGAGGAATAACGTTGTGGGAGAGATAAAAAGTCAGTTAAAAACACCCTACATTTACATCCCGTCCTGAATGTAAGCCAGGGCGGGATCAGCCAGCGGCAGCTTCCCGCAGTCTGGATGCGGAGGAGTGAACATCTCCTGCTCTGACTGCAGCTGGGAGGGACTGCTGCGCGAGAACTGGGCCGCCTGTGAGTGCTTTGGGGCAGGGGGTGGGGCCCATGGCAGCACCCGCTGCTCGTTGAGAAGTGTAAGAATGATACGTGCTTTCACGTCAGTCTCCAATAACACCAGAAAAAGTTGCTATATTTGTCGCTAGTCGCTTTTTTGAAAATGTGTAGCTAGAGGTGTCTGAATTCTCGCTAAATATTGTGACAAAGTCGCTAAATTGGCAACACTGCATACCGGATTTACATTTACTATGTTATGTCTAGTCTATGAGACCAGGCTGCAAGGCAGGACATAGAACCCCAATAATCTATTGATAAAGTAAATATTGAACAATAATTCGTCTTTCGCATGACGTGGCCTAATGCCAATCGTACCAAATTATACCGCAAATAAAGGGTTATTGTAAGCATAACAAGTGAATGGAGTGCGTTTCAGGCAGTTAATGCTCGTTCACAAACGCATTTTTATGACAAGTCTGATTTAAAACGGGAAAATGCGTATGTATGGCGTGCGCCAAGTTGATAAATCTCAGTATTTTTGTACATGGCAATCTTTTCAGAAATGGTGCACGCAGAAATGTAGTGTGACATTTACACAACGTTAATAAATCAGGCCCTTGTGGTTTTGAAATGGTTCTGTTCATATGGGAATTTGGAACAGTAATTGGTTACATTTTATTTCAAACCTAGACTTTCAAATCTCTCATTCCCCAAAATGGGGACAACATAGCCTGCTCTACAACCATTGTCAATCCAACGCTATTGTCTAGACTTATTCAGAGGTAATATTTTGCGTAAATGGTTGTGGCTGTTTACCGAAACGCATATTGTTATTCCTACATAGTCTATGAAGCTAGACTAGCTCTGGTCCAGGGAGTTAGTGCGCATTAGCAGAGGAACTCGGTAATGCCCTGGCCCAGAGATACAACTACATCAGATGACTCTGAACTTACCCCGAGTTCTTGATGTCGTCGGTAAAATTCGCCCAGGCTATATAGTCGTCAAGGAACCCCTCCTGCAAAGACAGCTGGCCAGTATGTTTATCGAGAACTGCAGAATAAATCTCGGCCTGAACAGACCTCCATGATAAATAAAAAACACATAAAAACATAGACATCTTCACTGTTGTTATTGACTTGTGTGTGCGCCTGTCAGCCATCTTTACAAATGTGGTTCATGTGACCAAAGATGAAGGAATTTCAAAATAAAAGTCCCACCCTCTAACGTAGATATCTATTAAGTTCTCTGATAAAATAAAATACAATAAAATAAATAAAAAACTTAAAGCCACTGTATCAAATGGGTAACATTTAATTGTTGTGTACAAATAATCATATCAATCATGTCATCAGAGTCCCATGCATCATCAGAGCTCTCTCACTGAGACATGTCTGTCTTTCTCTCTCTCTCGCTCGCTCTCTCTCTCTCTCTCTCTCTCTCTCTGTCCCTCTTTTTCTCACACACCCACATGGGTTCCTTGTAACATCAATGCTCTGTCAAAGTCCCTCAGTGTGTTTGAGAGGATTTGCTTGTCAACGCTCTGCGCAGAATCACTGACAAAATAATTGGCTTCTGTCGATTTCTGGTCTGTCTGATTATTTATTCTCCTGTCACTCAGGTCCAGATTACGCAGTCAGTCCTACCCACATTGAGCGACAGAGCACCAATCAGGGCTGGGCTGGGGTTAGGGTGTGTGGTTGAGAGGTTAGTCATCCTCTGCCCCCCCGGCCTCCATAGTCTCCATAATACCCTCCATCACCTCTGCCTTCCGCTTCTTCTTAGGGACGTCTAAGAGAAAGAAAGAGAAAGGGAGATCAGAGAACAGATTACTAAAAACATCAATCAGAAATGTATTACTGCATCTGTACGCTGGGTGTTACCGTGGAAATGCTCTGCTGTTTTCCTGCGTAGCGTCTCCACAGTGTCTTCAGCGTCGGCCCACTCTAGAACCAGCCGCCGCCCATACAGATGGGTGCTGTGGCACAGTGCTGAGAACGCTTTCTACAGGGGACACAATAAATAACAACACCTCTCAACACTACTGTACAGCAACAATACCATTTTTAGAGGGGAAACAAGAAATACCACACACCATGCTCATTCACCCTCACTCACCTTTGCATCCTGCTTGGTGAGGAAGTCTACAAAGCCAAACCCGCGATGAGCCCCGGTGCCGGTACCGGACGCTTTCTTTGGCAGACGAACAGTCTTCAGCTCCCCAAACGTGCTGGAGGGGATATACATATCATCACCATCATCATCATCATAAGTGAGTGAGTAAAAATGTCATGTCTCAGTGAGAGAGCTCTGAGGATGTGTGTATGTATTACCAGAAGAGCTCTCGTATCTCCCTGACTGTGGCCTGGAAGGGGACATTGCGTACGAGGATCTTAGAGCTGGTCTGTTTCCCCTCTGCCTGCTTCTTACGAGACACTACTGCAGACCTATACAAAATAAACAAATACAAAGAATTACAAAATACTCCCGTATCTACAGTGAGGGAAAAAAGTATTTGATCCCCTGTTGATTTTGTACGTTTGCCCACTGACAAAAAAATGATCAGTCTATAATTTTTATGGTAGGTTTATTTGAACAGTGAGAGACAGAATAACAACAAAAATATCCAGAATAACACATGTCAAACATTTTATAAATTGATTTGCATTTTAAATGAGGGAAATAAGTATTTGACCCCCTCGCAATCAGAAAGATTTCTGGCTCCCATGTGTCTTTTATACAGGTAACGAGCTGAGATTAGGAGCACACTCTTAACGGGAGTGCTCCTAATCTCAGCTTGTTACCTGTATAAAAGACCTGTCCACAGAAGCAATCAATCAGATTCCAAACTCTCCACCATGGCCAAGACCAAAGAGCTCTCCAAGGATGTCAGGGACAAGATTGTAGACCTACACAAGGCTGGAATGGGCTACAAGACCATCGCCAAGCAGCTTGGTGAGAAGGTGACAACAGTTGGTGTGATTATTCGCAAATGGAAGAAACACAAAAAACTTGTCAATCTCCCTCGGCCTGGGGCTCCATGCAAGATCTCACCTCGTGGAGTTGCAATGATCATGAGAACGGTGAGGAATCAGCCCAGAACTACACAGGAAGATATAGCCTCCAACACTCTACAAAATAGCCTCCAACACTCTACTCAGCAAATTGGATGTAGTCTATCACAGTGCCATCCGTTTGTCTCCAAAGCCCCATACACTACCCACCACTGTGACCTGTACGCTCTTGTTGGCTGGTCCTCACTACATGTTCGTCGTCAAACCCACTGGCTCCAGGCCATCTATAAATCACTGCTAGGCAAATCCCCACCTTATCTTAGCTCATTGGTCACCATAGCAGCACCCACCCGTAGTCTGCGCTCCAGCAGGTATCTCTCACTGGTCATTCCCAAAGCCAACACCTCCTTTGGCCGCCATTCCTTCCAGTTCTCTGCTGCCAATGACTGGAACGAATTGCAAAAATCTCTGAAGCTGGAGATCTCCCTCACTAACTTTAAGCATCAGTTGTCAGAGCACCTTACCGATCACTGCACCTGTACACAGCCCATCTGAAATTAGCCCACCCAACTACCTCATCCCTATATTGTTATTTATTTTGCTCTTTTGCACCCCAGTATCTCTATTTGCACATAATCTCTTGCACATCTAGCATTCCAGTGTTAATACTAATTGTAATTATTTTGCACTATAGCCTATTTATTGCCTTACCTCCATAACTTGCTACATTTGCACACACTGTATATATATTTTCTGTTGTATTTTTAGACTTTTTTTTTACCCCATATGTAACTCTGTGTTGTTGTTTTTATCGCACTGCTTTGCTTTATCTTGGCCAGGTCGCAGTTGTAAATGAGAACTTGTTCTCAACTGGCTTACCTGGTTAAATAAAGGTTAAATAAAATAAAAATAAAAAAAGGATCTTGTCAATGATCTCAAGGCAGCTGGGACAATAGTCACCAAGAAAACAATTGGTAACACACTATGCCGTGAAGGACTGAAATCCTGCAGCGCCCGCAAGGCCCCCCTGCTCAAGAAAGCACATATACATGCCCGTCTGAAGTTTGCCAATGAACATCTGAATGATTCAGAGGAGAACTGGGTGAAAGTGTTGTGGTCAGATGAGACCAAAATCGAGCTCTTTGGCATCAACTCAACTCGCCGTGTTTGGAGGAGGAGGAATGCTGCCTATGACCCCAAGAACACCATCCCCACCGTCAAACATGGAGGTGGAAACATTATGCTTTGGGGGTGTTTTTCTGATAAGGGGACAGGACAACTTCACTGCATCAAAGGGACGATGGACGGGGCCATGTACCGTCAAATCTTGGGTGAGAACCTCCTTCCCTCAGCCAGGGCATTGAAAATGGGTCGTGGATGGGTATTCCAGCATGACAATGAGCCAAAACACACGGCCAAGGCAACAAAGGAGTGGCTCAAGAAGAAGCACATTAAGGTCCTGCAGTGGCCTAGCCAGTTTCCAGACCTTAATCCCATAGAAAATCTGTGGAGGGAGCTGAAGGTTCGAGTTGCCAAACGTCAGCCTCGAAACCTTAATGACTTGGAGAAGATCTGCAAAGAGGAGTGGAACAAAATCCCTCCTGAGATGTGTGCAAACCCTGTGGCCAACTACAAGAAACGTCTGACATCTGATTGCCAACAAGGATTTTGCCACCAAGTACTAAGTCATGTTTTGCAGAGGGGTCAAATACTTATTTCCCTCATTAAAATGCAAATCAATTTATAACATTTTTGACATGTGTTTTTCTGGATATTTTTTTTGTTATTCTGTCTCTCACTGTTAAAATAAACCTACCATTAAAACTATAGACTGATCACGTCTTGGGCAAACGTACAAAATCAGCAGGGGATCAAATACTTTTTTCCCTCAATGTATAAGGATATATGCTGCATTGCGTCATCATAAGTGGCTTTATACAGTGCATTCGGAAAGTATTCAGACCCCTTCCATTTTTCCACATTGTTACATTACAGCCTTATTCTAAAATTGATTAAATAAATAAAAAAATTGAATCAATCTACACACAATACCCCATAATGACAAAGTGAAAACAGGTTTAGACATTTTTGCAAATGTATTAAATTAAAAACAGAAATACCTTATTTACATAAGTATTCAGACCCTTTGCTATGAGACTCGAAATTGAGCTCAGGTGATTTGGAAAGGCACACACCTGTCTATATAAGGTCCCACAGTTGACAGTGCATGTCTGAGCAAAAACCAAGCCATGAGTTCGAAGGAATTGTCCGTAGAGCTCCGAGACAGGATTGTGTCGAGGCACAGATCTGGGGAAGTGTACCAAAACTTTTCTGTAGCATAAAAGGTCCACAAGAACACAGTGGCCTCCATCATTCTTAAATGGAAGAAGTTTGGAACCACCAAGACTTTTCCTAGAGCTGGCCGCCCGGCCAAACTGAGCTATTGGGGGAGAAGGGCCTTGGTCAGGGAGGTGACCAAGAACCCAATGATCACTCTGACAGAGCTCCAGAGTTCCTCTATGGAGATGGGAGAACCTTCCAGAAGGACAACCATCTCTGCAGCACCGCCAATCAGGCCTTTACGATAGAGTGGCCAGACGGAAGCCACTCCTCAGTAAAACGCATATGACAGCCCGCTTGGAGTTTGCCAAAAGGCACCTAAAGGACTAAGACCATGAGAAACAAGATTCTCTGGTCTGATGAAACCAAGATTGAATTCTTTGGCCTGAATGCCAAGCGTCTGGTCTGGAGGAAACCTGGCACCATCCCTACGGTGAAGCATGGTAGCAGCATCATGCTGTGGGGATGTTTTTCAGCAGAAGGGACTGGGAGACTAGTAAGGATCAAGGGAAAGATTAACAGAGCAAAGTACAGAGAGATCCTTGATGAAAAGCTGCTCCAGAGCGCTCAGGACCTTAGACTGGGGCGAAGGTTCACCTTCTAACAGGACAACGACCCTAAGCACACAGCCAAGACAACGCAGGAGTGGCTTCGGGACAAGTCTCTGAATGTCCTTGAGTGGCCCAGCCAGAGGCCGATCAAACATCTCTGGAGAGACCTGAAAATAGCTGTGCGGCAACGCTCCTCATTCAACCTGACAGAGCTTGAGCGGATCTGCTGAGAAGAATGGGAGAAACTCCCCAAATACCGGTGTGCCAAGCTTGTAGCGTCATACCCAAGAAGACTTGAAGCTGTAATCGCTGCCAAAGGTACTTCAACAAAGTACTGAGTAAAGAGTCTGAATACTTATGTAAATGTAAAATGTCTGTTATTTATTTTTAATACATTTGCAAACATTTCTAACAACCTGTTTTTGCTTTGTCATTATGGGGTATTTTGTGTAGATTGATTAGGGGAATTTTTTTTTCATCCATTTTAGAATAAGTCTGTAACGTAACCAAATGTGGAAAAAGTCAAGGGGTCCGAATACTTTCCGAATGCACTGTAATTACTCCTATTACTATTACCGTAGTTTGTTGTTAATTAACGTAACCGTGGTTAGTATGATGAGTGACTCACTTGGTGGCTCTCTCAGACACTTTCAACTCCAATTGGTGGTCATCCACGCTGCAGTGCTGAGAGAAAGAGAAGAGAGATGGGGGGATGAGAGAGATTGAGATAGAGGTGTGTGGTCAGTATCTATAGGTGTTGGGGTTAAAGGTTAAGGATCAGGGCTAGGGTCAGTACCTGAAGCTGCCTTATGGCCTTCTCTGCTGCCTTCTGGGTCTGATAGGTGACAAAGCCATACCCCATGGACAACAGCCGACCTACAGGGACAAAACAGCACAGACATCACTGAAACTCACAAATGTTCAGTATGAGTCTAAGAGCCAATTTATGCTTGATCCGAAAATGTGGTCGGAGACTCTGTATGGAGGGTGTGACGCAATTCCAAATTGAGCTCCATTCCCCATTGCTGTGCGCCTCCCAAATGTATGTAACAATGCGGAGGGCTCCGTATAGCTCCGCACTGACATGATTGGTTGATGGTAGGTGGGGGCGGGAGGTCCTGTATAAACACAAACTCACGTCCTTGACAACTTCCTTCACAACAGCTCTGTGCTGCTCCGCAAAGTGCAAGAAGTATGAATGCCCTGACTTCTACAGAGGTTGTATAACCGTAAATGCTGCACGGCCAATGCAGACGTGGGATTGACCATGCAGCGCCTTTAAAGGTTCAGTCTAAATGTAATGTTCAGTACCAATCTTATCTTTTTTCTTGGAGATGGTGCAGGTCTTCAATGTGCCACATTTGGAGAAGGTCTGTGGAAAGACACAAACCAAAAACATGAGACATTCACCAAAACTTCAGACCTAACTGCATCCTAACTATAACTCACTCATCCTCTATTCCTCATCATCTAACTCACATTCCATAAATCTAACGCTAACCCCACCTCACGCAATGTCTCCTCTGTTGTAGTGAAGTTGAGGTTCTTGATGAAGAGAGTGGATCCCGGTGCTTCTTCCTCCTCCTCCTCCTCCTCCTCCTCTTCCTCCTGTGCTGAGGTTTTGGTGGTGGGCTCCGGATCTGGTGTAAGTGTCTTGCTGGGCATGGCAGCTGAGAATACTCCCGTAGGGGCCCACTCCAAATATAGGGGGACATGCTGGAACTAGAGAGTGAAGCAGGCAGAGGGAGAGAGAGGCAGTATATGTTACAGTATACTCCCCTGAACGGGACCATGGTCTTCCTCAGACAGCGGAATGGAACGGGACCATGGTCTTCCTCAGACAGCGGAATGGAACGGGACCATGGTCTTCCTCAGACAGCGTTCCATTTTTACATAAGAGGCCACATTTGCATGGAACACACATATACATACACACACCTTGCTGTATGCCAGTCTAGTGAAGGCTCGTTTGGCCTCAGTGGGCTCCAGGTATTCTATGATGGCAGTCAAGCCCGCAGGCGGCAGCAGCACTCTACCCAGGGTGCCGTGCGGCGAGAACAGTTCCTCCAGGTCCTCCACCGTCACTCCCGCTGGAAGATTCTTCACCAGGAACACACACATGCTACGAGGCCCCGCCGCCTAAACACAAACAGAATCCAAAATTAGAAAAACTTTAAATAATGTTCTGTTCTTTATGCACTGTTAGCACAACATAGACAGTGTTTTACAACATACCTGACTGAAGGAGTCCAGACAAACGTGGCTGTCCAACAGGAACTGCCGAGTCTCCTGGACAATCTGAGTCTCTCCTAAAGCCATCCTCACTGCTACACTCCCCTTAGACTCCTGAGAGAGAATCATATCATTAAAGAGGATGGGGGTAGAGGGTGGGGGAAAGGTGTATTCGGTGGTAAGGGGAGACAGGGGTAAAGGGGACGAGGAGACGGGAGAGTAGAACTCACATGGTCCAGGACTTGGCTCTTGGTGGTGTTGTATTTTTCAGCGATAGCATCTGCAACAGCACTTGTGCCCAGAAACAGGGTGTTCCAGTTATGGGAGCTGTAGAGGGACAAACATCACAATGTGAACAAACACAAAAAGGCAATAACATTACTGGACAATTCCAGTACTGGATTGTAAACATAAACTTTGACAACTAGAGAGATATTTTAAACTAAGGAGAGATGTCTTTAGACTGTAACTGACCTGGTACTAGCGGCTTTGTTCTTGGCATCTTTCTGCCGTTTGTAGGAGGAGGAGCCTGGCCCAGAGTGGGCGGAGTCAGCTTTCTCCTTCTTCAGAGTGGATGGAAGCAAGTGCAGCATCCTGCCCTGAGAGAGAAAGAAAGAGATGGGGGTATAGAGAGAGAGAGAAGATGAGAGGTTAGATGTTACGGTTTAGAGGTTAGAAACACACTATAGGTAAGGGTGTGAGATTAGTACCTGGAATATGTGTCCATCTAGCTGAGCCAGTGCTGTCACTGCATTCTCAGGGATCATGTAAGAGACGAAGGCAAATCCTTTAGGCTTCTTGGTCAGATTGTCGATGGGGAAAACCACTTCAGCCAGAGGACCTGTAACAAACAGGCTCAGGGGTCAGGTGTGTGTGTGAACTCCTGTTCAGTGCAGGTATACAGTGGCTTGCGAAAGTATTCACCCCCCTTGGAATTTTTCCTATTTTGTTGCCTTACAACCTGGAATTAAAATGGATTTTTTGGGGATTTGTATCATTTGATTTACACAACATGCCTACCACTTTGAAGATGCAAAATAATTACAGCTGCAAGTATCTTGGGGTATGTCTCTGTAAGCTTGGCACATCTAGCCACTGGGATTTCTGCCCATTCTTCAAGGCAAAACTGCTCCAGCTCCTTCAAGTTGGATGGGTTCCGCTGGTGTACAGCAATCTTTAAGTCATACCACAGATTCTCAATTGGATTGATGTCTGGGTTTTGACTAGGCCATTCCAAGACATTTAAATGTTCCCCTTAAACCACTCAAGTGTTGCTTTAGCAGTATGCTTAGGGTCATTGTCCTGCTGGAAGGTGAACCTCCGTCCCAGTCTCAAATCTCTGGAAGATTGAAACAGGTTGCTTGCTTATTTTTTTCTTTAAGCAATGGCTTTTTTCTGGCCACTCTTCCGTAAAGCCCAGCTCTGTGGAGTGTACGGCTTAAAGTGGTCCTATGGACAGATACTCCAATCTCCGCTGTGGAGCTTTCCAGCTCCTTCAGGGTTATCTTTGGTGTCTTTGTTGCCTCTCTGATTAATGCCCTCATTGCCTGGTCCATGAGTTTTGGTGGGCGGCCCTCTCTTGGCAAGTTTGTTGTGGTGCCATATTCTTTCAATTTTTTTATAATGCATTTAATGGTGCTCTGTGGGATGTTCAAAGTTTCGGATATTTTTTTATAACCCAACCCTGATCTGTACTTCTCCACAACTTTGTCCCTGACCTGTTTGGAGAGCTCCTTTGTCTTAATGGTGCCGCTTGCTTGGTGGTGCCCCTTGCTTAGTGGTGTCCCTTGCTTAGTGGTGTTGCAGACTCTGGGGCCTTTCAGAACAGGTGTCTATATACTGAGATCATGTGACACTTAGATTGCACACAGGTGGACTTTATTTAACTAATTATGTAACTTCTGAAGGTAATTGGTTGCACCAGATCTTATTTAGGGGCTTCATAGCAAAGGGGGTGAATACATATGCACGCACCACTTTTCCGTTACTTTGTAGAATATTTTGAAACAAGTAATTTTTTTCATTTCACTTCACCAATTTGGACTATTTTGTGTATGTCCATTACAAGAAATCCAAATAAAAATCAATTTAAATTACAGGTTGTAATGCAACAAAATAGGAAAAACACCAAGGGGGATGAATACTTTTGCAAGGCACTGTACAGTGTGTGTGTGTGTGTGTGTGCGCGCACCGTGCTTGGTGAATAGGTCTTGGAGCTCCTCTTCTGTACAAGTGTAGGGCAGGTTCCTTATGAAGAGTCTTCCTGACTCTGCTACATCTTCCTCCTCCTCATCATCCTTCAGCTCCCTGGTGAAGCTCCTCTCGCTCCCTTTGTCCCGCCTCTCCGCACGCCCCTCACCCCTCACACTCGTCCGAAAAACCTCGATATATCGCCCCCCTTAGGACAAACACACACAATACATGTCTTTATATTCTCAGTGAGGACACCAACATCCACACACACACACCAGGTCTGATTCTCACCCATGTAATCTTTGTTCTTCTTCAGAGCCTTTTCCACCTCCTCTTCTGACCGCAGGTCCACATATATATACCCGGTTTTGTTGCCAGTGGCGTTCTTGATGATTCGAATGGCTGCAGGCTTCAGAGGAGTCATGAACTCTCGCACTTGTTGCTGTTGATGTCACAGATAAACAACCCAAGAAGTCATACATAAACAAACAAACAACTGCACCATATAGGAGGACACATCTCCCTTTTCCCACTCTTATGAACTCATCACACCCCCATGCCATGCCCAAACACCCACATACTTACCTCTTTGACATTGAAGGGACATCCTCTCAGTTTCACTGTGAACTCAGTGGTCGGCTCAGTCTGTGGAACACAGAGAGATAGACACACACACATTACCAAAGGGAATAAGGCAATGAATCAGTGAGTCAGAATGCTACACCATTATGCTGTTTTAACTGCTATCCTCCATCAGTTCGATGAAGGTTGGATTTTAGGTAAAATATACAGTCCCAAGGTTTGTGGGTCAGTGGTGCCCGTAAAAATAGTAGGGGTTGAAGGTTAGGAGTCCGCCCTACCTCCTGCTGTTTGCCAGGTTTGCCCTGGCTTTTTTCCAGTGAAGAGGCTGGTGCTGTGGCCCTCTGGATACAGTCTCTGTCCCCACTCTCATAGGCACCATCTGTCTGCTGCACAGGGGCAGGCTCGTCTTCCGCATCTTCATCCTCTTCTTCCTCATTGTAATCGTTCTCCTCCACAGCAGCACCCCCTGTCTGTGCCACTTTGGAGCGCAGGTACTCCATATCAGACAGGCCAGACTTCAGAGCCTGCTTATCAGCACCTGACAGTGAAAATACACCGTTTACACACACAGATCCTTACTAGCATCTGTCAGACAAAGGGACTGTGTAGGCATGTGTACCTACCCTGGTCTTCCTCCTCTTTCTCCTCCTCCTCCTCCTCCTCCTCATCTGACTCATCAGAGTCAAAGTTAAGGTAATCATCGGAAGCAGGCTTCTTCTTCTCATTCTTCTCTCGAGTCCTCCCCTGGCCGGTCTCAGGGGCTGCTGATTGGGGCAGAGCATCGTTGGCCCAGGTAGGTGCCTGGTTGCGGTTCTGATGCACCGACACAAACTCCTGGAAACCCTCGTCATCCTCCAGCTGACACACACACACAAGATAAAACAGAAACAAGATTAAACAGAGCACCGGAATGTCAAGGAAGACAATAATTGTCAACACTTCAGGCATTTGAGATATCTTACACTCCAGCGTCTGCTAAATGACTCAAATGTAAATGTAATCCATAGAGTACTTCCTCTGCCAGGCAGACATGGACTTACTTTGCCTAGAATACTGGGGGATTCCTTTTTCTTCTTCTCCTGGTGTAAAAAAAACACACGATAAGAGAAAAATAAATGAAGAATAGATTATATGATCTCTCACAACAATTCAGCACAAAATATGTCATAGTATACCTTGTTATTATGGTACATCAACACCCAATATAATAACACCCCAATGTTACCCAGGACCCTGTGTGTACACATGACTAGAAGATGAAGGGAACATCCCATGGTGTGAAGCATTCAAAAACATTGAACACTTGACTGCAGCCCTATCCTTATACTGTACCTTTTTATTCTCCCTGGGTGCTGTGGCTGTGGCTGGGCCACGGGAATGTTTACTCCAGGCTCTGGCCTTCGTGGGGTCCCCAAACGACTTGCACATCTCCACCTGGGCAAAAGCACAACACACACTATCAGAGAGGACCATGGCATTATCTGTCAACCAGGCTAGCAAATTTGACATACAATCTGTGATTGGCTAGCTGTCCATCTCACCACTACTCAGGAGTCTGAATGGCTAACTGTCTCACCGTTACTCTGGACGTGTCCACAAAGCTTTTATTGAAATGCTTCAGCGCCTTGTCCGCATCCTCCTCAGTCTTGAAGCCCACAAATCCAAACTTGCGGAACTTGCCCTCCTTGGTGAACTTCAGGCCGCAGTCTGTCAGGGTTCCGAAGGCGGCAAACATCCCCTTGAACCGCTCCTCCTTCATCTGCAGGCAAAGCTCGTCATTAGTAACCTAAACTCAGTTTAACAAACCCTGAATAACAAATCAAGCCAGACCTAGCCACTACTCCATGGGCACTTATGGAGAGAACATCTGAGAGGATTGATAACTCCACTTGGCCTATCAGAGGGCAAGATGGAGCTACCGCCTTAGACATAGTTACATATATTATTATATCCTTTCAGATACACAAGTGCTTAAGAGGGTTGGGGCTAGTAGTTCATTTGGAACCAAGGGTAAATGTAAACTCGGTCATTAACTAAACTTAGGTTTAGTCAATTCAGTCACACATTAGCCCCTGTAATTCATGTACGAAATAGTATATACAATTATTTGCTGTGTAGTTTTAGCCCTGAACGTTTAGCTCAGAGGCTTAGCTCTGTAGCTACACTCCATCTGAACCAGTAAATTAAATTCAAAGTCCAATTAACCACCTCTGCAAACGTTATAATGTCAAAATACGTTCGGTAGTCAACAAAATATTGACTTCCGCATATCAATTATCGCCATTACGCACGGTGTACTTCCAAAAAAGGTATAAATAAAAGTATTGTTTTTGACCAAGTGCGCAAATCACTCATTACTGCCACGCACAGGTCGGCTGATCCAGCAGCAGTACAGTAACCCGAAATAACGTTGATATTTAAATTATACCTTTTTTGGAAGTACATACCTTGTGTAACGTCAGTAATGACGGGAGTTGCTATGCGAAGTACCGAACGTATTTTAACATTATAAAGTTTGCAGAGCTGGTTATTGGGACTTTGAATTGCAGGAGCGTCAGGTAGCTTAGTGGTTAAGAGCGTTATGCCAGTAACCGAAAGGTCGCTGGTTCTAATCCCCGAGGCGACTAGGTGAAAAATCTGTCACCTGTAAATCGCTCTGGATAAGAGCGTCTGCTAAATGACTAAAATGTAAGGATCCTGGGTGTCAGAATAACGTTGGATCTCGTCATATTCGTCTCCTCAAGCCCAGATACTGGTTCACAATCCATTCAACAACACATTCTAACATAACTTACCCCGTTTGGAAGGTTTTTGACGATTAATCTCGACATTTTTGTAAACCTATATCCCGTCTAAACACTGAAATAAATGGAAATATAGATGTCAACAATAAACACGCGTGGACGTCTGTCTAGGTCGCCATTGCTAACCTGGAAACATTTTGCAGAACCATATGGAATCACTTCCGGGTCAATTAAAAAAAGAACCTTCAGTCTTCAAAATAAAAGTCCTTACCAAAAGATGTGTGCTGTGCATTGGCATTAATAGTTTGAATTCACATCATTGGCTGTCCGTGGGCAACAGTAGCTACATTACGTATTTTTCATAAACATATTATAACAAAATACATAATTTATTTGAACCCTGTACCCTCAGATTAAAAATCTGAAGCTCTACCGAAAGGGGGCGCCAGCGCCATCTGGGCGCGCGTGAAAAATGTGGCCGCGTAGAAAGGATATTTTCTGTTTGACCGAGAACAATGACAGGGTTGCCATGTCGGTAAAATTCGACCATTGGGCTACTTTGAAAACGTATAGGTCACGGGTTGAGTGAATGATTGGTGGGGAGGGCCGGAGGGGATTGTCATTATGGAAACACTGATTTCCAACCGTTTTTCCATAAAACGTTAACGCGCTAGAACGTATGTTCATCAACAAATAATGTCGACAAAGCACTGGAAAACGACATTAGGCGCACTAGAGTGTATTATATAAATTCACTCTGAGGCTGTTTAAACTTAATGCTAATGTCGACTTTGCTGACGGAAAACTGTATCATTCGAAGGGTTTTACGCATGCTCAGTTTTTGGGTCTCGAGCGCTGCGCGAGTGGAAATTTCAAATGGAAGTTATGGAACTTCCTGGCATGCTTCTGTTGGGGAAAAGTCCACAATGAAACTGTCAGTAAATGTGGAAAATGATACATTTGCATCTGTTGACCATCAAGTAGCCTATTAATTTCTATGCCATTGTAGGCTACTGTAGCCTACCATTTGATACAATAAATGTTGAAATGACGATATCACTAACGTTAGTCCTTGCAAATCAATTTGTGCCACTGGTGTAGCCTATCTGGAGGAGCTGGCAAACGGATTTGATAAATAGCCTATAACTTCAGTTTGTTGTTATAGCTTGTGTTATTATGCAATTATTAATGGCCATGGCTAATTCAAGTTATCAATTGTGATCATGGTCACAGCTCGAGCTCTATCGCAATTGCCGATCAGCTGTTAGAATGCATTAGATTGATGGTAACAGTCAGTTATATTAGGCTTCAGGTAAAAACGAAATAAACACCGGCTGTTGTTGACAATCATATTCAGTTCAAATCCATATTATTAATATTTGATTAGGTGATTTAAATTATGACCCCATCCTCAGTAGCCGATTCGAGCAGGCTATTTGGCAACACACGCGCTTCTTACCTCGAAATAGCTTCGCTATTAATGTTGAATAAATTAGTCCATCAATTTGAATTAAGCAAGCTGCTAAATCGTTCAGTTTACATCGTACCAACATCTTGCCTAGGCTACTGTAGGCTATCTGAAATTAGATGTAGGCCTATCAGGGGCTATAGGCTACCTGCATCTAGCTAAGCAAACCATGGCAAAGTGACACAATCATAAACCCAGATTTTAGTCAGCCTATGCCTATTAAAATGACAAGTCAATCTCGTAAATATACCATTTATAACGGTTTGTAGTCTTAACATCTGGCACAATGGCACAATTGCCAGAAAATAGCCTAACATTCGTTTTTTAAAGTTTGTCCAAGTGTTTCTTGCGCAGAGATTGAGATCCTCTATCCAACTTTCATCACTCAAACTCTCCTGTAGGATTTAGTTATGAACATGTGCAAAACTGATTTATTTAAGATTATAAACAGTGGTTCAAGCCCTGAATGCTGATTGGCTGAAAGACGTGGTATATCAGACCATACACCATGGGTATGACAAAAAATTACTTTTTACTGTACTAATTAAGTTGGTAACCAGTTTATAATAGCAATAAGGCACCTCTGGGTTTTGTAGTATATGGCCAATATACCACAGCTAAGGGCAGTATCCAGTCACTCAGAGTTGCATTGTGCGTAAGAACAGCCCTTAGCCGTGGTATATTGGCTATATACTGTATCCAGTCACTCCCTCGGCCTGGGGCTCCATGCAAGATCTCACCTCGTGGAGTTGCAATGATCATGAGAACGGTGAGGAATCAGCCCAGAACTACACGGGAGGATCTTGTCAATGATCTCAAGGCAGCTGGGACCATAGTCACCAAGAAAACAATTGGTAACACACTACACCGTGAAGGACTGAAATCCTGCAGCGCCGCAAGATCCCCTTGCTCAAGAAAGCACATATACAGGGCCTTCTGAAGTTTGCCAATGAACATCTGAATGATTCAGAGGAGAACTGGGTGAAAGTGTTGTGGTCAGATGAGACCAAAATCGAGCTCTTTGGCATCAACTCAACTCGCCGTGTTTGGAGGAGGAGTAATGCTGCCTATGACCCCAAGAACACCATCCCCACCGTCAAACATGGAGGTGGAAACATTATGCTTTGGGGGTGTTTTTCTGCTAAGGGGACAGGACAACTTCACCGCATCAAAGGGACGATGGACGGGGCCATGTACCGTCAAATCTTGGGTGAGAACCTACTTCCCTCAGCCAGGGCATTGAAAATGGGTCGTGGATGGGTATTCCAGCATGACAATGACCCAAAACACACGGCCAAGGCAACAAAGGAGTGGCTCAAGAAGAAGCACATTAAGGTCCTGGAGTGGCCTAGCCAGTCTCCAGACCTTAATCCCATAGAAAATCTGTGGAGGGAGCTGAAGGTTTGAGTTGCCAAACGTCAGCCTCGAAACCTTAATGACTTGGAGAAGATCTGCAAAGAGGAGTGGAACAAAATCCCTCCTGAGATGTGTGCAAACCTGGAGGCTAACTACAAGAAACGTCTGACCTCTGTGATGGCCAACAAGGGTTATGCCACCAAGTACTAAGTCATGTTTTGCAGAGGGGTCAAATACTTATTTCCCTCATTAAAATGCAAATCAATTTATAAAATTTTTGACATGCATTTTTCTGGATTTTGTTGTTGTTATTCTGTCTCTCACTGTTAAAATAAACCTACCATTAAAATTATAGACTGATCATGTCTTTGTCAGTGGGCAAACGTACAAAATCAGAAGGGGATCAAATACTTTTTTCCCCTCAATGTACCACACCCCCTCGTGCGTTATTGCTTAATCATAGCATTCAAACGAGTTAAATCGACATCCATTGATGGAAAATGATCTGGCGAGTTTAAGGGCAAATGTTCTTCTCTCTTGCGACATATTCTACTTCCTTTATTAAGTCACGTTAGTTCACAATAATAATTATTTTGATGGAAAACCACATTTTGATTCTTATGTTGTTACAAGTTACGTCAATATTCCTTCTTAATTTGCTCGATACCGTTATGGAAAATGGGTTTACTGGATTGGATATAGGTGGAAGCCTTAAAACGTGAAGTTGATCGATCCCGTGGAGGGAGGAGCTGATTTTTTGTATATGACAGTAAAACATTCTTATGATGACTATAACATTTGTTGGAACCTTCAATTCTTGAACATTTTTTCATAAAGTATATTTAAATACTCAGCCACTCAGGCAAATTTGCTGAACTACTAAACTTGGAACCAATCAGAACTCCCGTACATACTCCTTGGTCATCACTTCTGTGCTCCCGAGTGGTGCAGTGGTCTAATGCACTGCATCTCAGTACTTGAGGCAATAATTTGTTCTTAACTGACTTTCCTAGTTAAATAAAGGTAAAATAAAATCAATGAATACTGAACAAAAATATAAATGCAACAATTTCAAAGATTTTACTGAGTGACTGTTCATATAAGGAAATCAGTCAATTTAAATAAATTCATTAGGCCCTAATCTATGGATTTCACATGACTGTGAATAGCATCTGTTGGTCACAGATACAG